TTGCATTTTGTTTCCCGGTAACCGCATTACGAATGCATATACGCGAAATCCTATATTTGTGATTCAATTTACAAAAGTGAGAATTACTTTATATCACTTGTAAATAATTGTGTAGAATATGAGACAAAGAAAGCTTTATTAACAGTGCGAAAGTTTCGTTTATTTAGAATTTTCGTTTATGAGAAGTATTAGGTCTACCGGAAAGTTCTGTCCGATAGTGTCACTTCAACTTTCAATCCATATGCACATGTTGATTTGAGACATATACGACTATCTCTCTTTATCATTGCATTTACACACATGTACTCTCCTAAATAAACTGAAACAAAGATGTCTCGTGTCATTATTAAGCGAGACGCGATCGTGAAAACATGGCTATCGATGATAATGGCAGACCACATGCTGCTTTGGCAACTCGTCAGAAAATCGCAGAGCTAGGCTGGGAAATTCTGTCCCATCCACCATACTCCCCGGACCTAGCACCCTCCGATTATCACGTGTCTCTCTCTTTGCAAAACTTTTTACAGGAAAAAGATTCAAAACTGAAGCTGATGTCAAGCAAGCACTAGTCGAGTTCTTCGACTCTAAAAATAAATCATTTTTTAAAAATGGCATTTAAAAGTTGCCATCACACTAGCAAAAAGTAGTAACGATGGAAAGTATATTCTACAATAAATATTATTAAATGTATGAAAATTGTGTTATATTTCGATTCAAAAACGGACAGAACTTTCCGGTAGACCTAATATTAAGAGCTATTACGCAAAACTCGAATCACGTCAAGTCCTTCACGTCTTGAACATCAAAAGGTACTAATGAAATACCACTTTCATCAAAGCTCTGCTTAGAAGCAATATGTACACTTAGATGTAATAGTACATGTCATTTAACATCGCAAGTATTTTATTAAATTCCGCAAATGAATTTATTGATATTGAGAAACATCAGCGACCAAAATTAACCAGTTATAAAATATAAAAAGGAATTTAGGTAATTATAGAGACTAGTGTGATACTTATAAGAGGGAGTCCCAAAATCGGTGGTACAATCGAGGAGGAGGCGATTCTACATAAAAAATCAAATCGAAAGTAAAGAACAAAATTTGTTTCAGTTGAGGCTTCGTTGTCGTGAAAATCGGCTCTGAATATTCTACATTTTTAATCGTTTTTGCATTTATAAAGTATAAGTTAGTAACTAAATTACATGTCTTATTTTTATTTTAATCCACTCTAAATTCATAGGAAGAAATGAGTACAGTAATAAATGTAAAATGGACAACTTGTGGGAAGAGGAGATACGATTGTTCGAGCTTTGCACCTCGTTTTTATAATTGTTGATAATTTGCAACTATATAAACGATCCACGAGACTCGATCAATCGTATCTCCTCTTCCCAAATTGTCCATTTCTGTTTACATATTGAGTGACAATTGGAGAAAATTTATTATAATTACATTAGTATCATTTACAGGTGATATGTAACTTCTGCCGAGATCCATCCATTTAGATCTGAACTATAGTTACTTCTGGCGTACTCGTTGAATATTCAAAGTTGATTTTCTCGACAACGAAGCCTCAAATGAGAAAAATTGATTATTTCGATTATTTTCGATGTGTTTTTTTTTCATGTAGAATCACCCTTTTCTCGGTGCTGGGAGATCGCTGCTAGTTTTGCATCACCGATGCTGGGACACCCTCTATTAAACACTTTGTATGAAATAGTATCGCTAAAAGACGTTTATGTTTGCAACGCAATTAAGTATTACTGCACCGTATGCCTTATTTAGTTTTTGCGTGTTTCGTAATGTCTTGGTAATTTGCTGCGTCTTCGTTGAACTTTCCCAGAAAAAGGAATCTAATGGTCTGCAGCTCCATCAAAAGTTTTATATGTTCTTCAACAGTCCCTTTTCCCAAAAGGCACGGTCAACATGAAAGTTTTCATTACAGTATATTACTAGCGCAACACGTTGCAATTGCGATGATTACAGTCGTCATTACTTCGTTTAAAATATTTCCGAAGAAACGCGCACGGTTTTCATACGCATTTCAAGCTACAATGTATGTACGTTACATTCGTCATTAATGCCGGACGTACCGCGTATTCATTTATTTAATGAGGTGGAACATATGATTCCGGCAACATTTTATTTCCATAATTCTTGGATTAATCTTGCGCAATGCATACGCGCCTCGTACACGTATGATAAATTTAATGATCGTCCACGAGAATGTAATAATGAATTTTAAAATTCGAACTCGTTAGCGAACTCAGTGCTTCTTTAACAATGGATCTCATTGTATTTCGTACGATCGAGATTTCGGTTTAACCTTTTAGGTACGGCTGAATTTTGCGCGAGGCTATTTCTCTGGACGGCAGAGTCTGATATGTACTGTACAGAGTCATACTGTATATTCTGTCTGTATATACAGGGTGTCCCAAAAATGTCTCGCAATCCGAAAGTGGCGGGTTCCTCAGGCCATTTGAGGCAATTTTTTCCTTTACAAAAATATTCTCCGGGGCACCGTTAACGAGTTATTAACGAATAACAGTGACCAATGAGAGGCGAGCTCGGCTGGCGCGAGGCGATCGAGCCAATGAGCGGCACTGGGCTTCGCGCGCTGGTTGGCTGGGCCGCCTCGCGTCAGCTGTACTCAATTCTTATTGGTCACTGTTTTTCTGTAATAACTCGTTAACGGTGCCTCGGAGAAAATTTTTGTAAAGGAAGAAGTTGCTTCAAATGATCCGAGGAACTCACCATTTCCGGATTGCGAGACATTTTTGTGACACCCTGTAGACTGTTGTAAATCGATGTGAAGACAAAAGAAGTGTGAAACAATGCATATGAAGACGATTATTTGATTCAAACGATGAGCGAGTGAGCTACTAGAGCAAGCCACTATAGTGGCGCGTCGTCCAGAGAGATGTCATCCGCGAAAGCCACTATAGTGGCGTGTCGTTCTGAAAGATGACATCCGCGAAAGCTACTATAGTGGCGCGTTTTACCTAAAAGGTTAATACGATTTAAAATCATGGTAAAGAAATTTCGCATCGTAAGGTGCGAAGTTGCGAATTCACACGAATTATTTCAATGTTAAATGAGTGCGCGGTAACGTGGTCGATTTCCCGACGCGCGGATATCAACAAGTGTCCACCAAGTAACAACAGCATTTCACGTCCAGACGAGCGTAAAATCACGAAGCTCCGTTGACCCAAGCACGATTAAAGACAAAAATCGCGGGCAACCCGCCCGTGC